GAAGGGAGAGAGAAGCCAGAACAGAGCAAAGTGGGGTTTCCCAGGGAAGGAGGGACTTTGTTTTGGGTTTCTGGTGTCAAATCTTCCCAAAAGGCCAATGGAGAGCTTCACCTTCTCCCTGTCCCCATGCTGGGCAGGGCTGGGGTCCTTCATGGGCCATACTGATGGGGCGAGGGGCTGGATCTGGGCAACGCTGCCGCGGGCAGAGCAGGGCATCCCCCCGTGCCCCAGGGGTGCTCGGCAGATGCGCAGATCCAGCATCAGTGGGGCTGGTGCCATCTCACCCCGCAGGTGGAGAGCATGCTGTGGCCGGGGGGCGGGAGCCAGCTCCCCAGCTCCATCTGCAGCCTTCCCTGCAAGCCGGGCGAGAGGAAGAAGTTGGTGAAGGGCATTCCCTGCTGCTGGCACTGTGAGCGCTGCGACGGCTACCAGTACCAGCTGGACGAGTTCCACTGCAAGCGGTGCCACTTCAATGAGCGGCCCAACGAGAACCACACCAGCTGCACCCCCATCCCCATCATCAAGTTGGAGTGGAGCTCACCCTGGGCAGTGGTGCCCGTCTTCATCGCCATCGTGGGCATCATCGCCACCCTCTTCGTGGTGGTCACCTTCGTGCGCTACAATGATACGCCCATCGTCAAGGCGTCGGGGCGGGAGCTGAGCTACGTCCTGCTGACTGGCATCTTCCTCTGCTACGCCACCACCTTCCTCATGATCGCTGAGCCCGACTTGAGCACGTGCTCCTTGCGACGCATCTTTCTTGGGCTCGGCATGAGCATCAGCTATGCCGCCTTGCTCACCAAGACCAACCGCATCTACCGCATCTTCGAGCAGGGCAAGAAGTCAGTGAGTGCCCCCCGGTTCATCAGCCCCGCCTCCCAGCTGGTCATCACCTTCAGCCTCATCTCGCTGCAGCTCGTGGGTGTCTGCATCTGGTTCATCGTGGACCCGTCCCACTCTGTCATTGACTACGAGGACCAGCGGACTACAAATCCCCACTTTGCCCGGGGCATCCTCAAATGTGACATTTCGGACCTCTCCCTCATCTGTTTGCTTGGGTACAGCATGCTTCTTATGGTCACCTGTACTGTGTATGCTATTAAGACCCGCGGGGTCCCGGAGACCTTTAACGAAGCCAAGCCCATCGGGTTCACCATGTACACTACTTGCATTGTGTGGTTAGCCTTCATCCCTATATTTTTTGGGACGTCGCAGTCAGCGGAAAAGGTAAGGGAGGAGGGGAGAGGTCTGGCTGGTGACCCTGTGGGCTGCAAGGAAGGGGGCTGAGAGAGGCTGACATGTCCCAAGCAAGGAAGGATGCTTCTCTGCAGTCCTGCTGGCTTGGGAATCGTGGTGGGAAGCGTTGGTTTGCAAACCTCTTGCTCTACCAGGGAGCAGAGACCACTGCCTCCAACCCTATTTTCCTTTTCCCATTTTTTTGTGGTTTTCCTCACTCTTCCCTTCCTGGCTTTCCTGTTTCATTTACTCCCTTTCCCTCTGGATTTCTGTGCCGCGTTGGCCCCGCTGCACCTCTCTGGACTGGGTAGCTGTGGGCAGCACAGGCTGCTGCCATGTGGGCTCGGGAGGATGAGTCCCCAGGGCAGATCCAGGCCCCCAGCGTCATGAGCACCATTCCTGCACGGAAAAGGGACCAAGCGCTGCACAGCTGGTTCCTTTTCCCAGTGCTCAGTCAGTGATGGAGGCTGGAGAGACAGATCTGCCCTCCAAAATCCCCGAAAGCTGGAAGTAGCGGAGGGCAAAGGCAAAGGCGAGGGAGCAGAGCAACCCCTCGGCCTGTCCCCTCCCTTGCCGGGGCGTGCGGCAGCTTGAGGCTTCTCACTCGATTACCGTTTCGCTGTGATTTTAATTAACACCTATGTGTTTGGCAACACAGACCGCTGACAAATTGCTCAGCTGAGCTGCGGCGGGCAGGGTGGCACAGAGCTGCGGGGGGAGCGGAGCGGCTCCGTCCTGGCGAGGGGCTTGGGGAGCAAGCATCTCCTGTGACTCCGAATGCGACTTTGCGCACAGCGTAGACAAGGCCAGGCCAGATAATCCCAGAGGTGGATTTGTGCTGTGAGACAACCTGTCTGTCTGTCTGTCCTCCCCCCTGTCCTTGGCTCCTGGAGGGTGGTCCTGTGCCGGTACCCAAGGGACCGAGGCCAGCCCGGATGAAGCTCCATGCTCAAGTGAGAGGGATTGAGAGCAAAGGAAAAAAAAAAATCTCATGAATGAGACCCAAATCCCCTTTGCCTGCCAGCCAAAACAAGAATCGCATTTATGTTAAATGCAAACAACTCATGCCTGCCAGCCTGGAGCCGCCTGTGACAAATAAACCTCAGTGTTGCTATTCCCTGGCAATCCCCGGGGTGACCCACCACCCGGATCCCCTCTCTGGACCCATCATGACTGGGATAATTTCCCCCGAGTGTGTCCCCTATGATGCTGAGCTGCTCTGAAGCCATAGGCTTTGGAAAAGGGCCTGGGGTGGTTTGCTGGGGAAGACCGGGAGATCTTTTGTTGTGGACACCAGCGTTTCACACGTGTCCTGGAGAGCTGCCTCTGCTCAGAGCTTGAAACCCTGGAGCTCGAGGAGGCTGGGTCTGCACAGACACCTTTAACCTTGGCTCAACCAAAAAGTCTCTGCCAAGCCAGCCCGTGCTGGCTGGAAGTGTGAAGGAGAGTTAAAGGAAATAAATGGAGCCTTCTGCAGCATTTCCATTTTGATGAGATGGCAGGGGAGATACTAACAAGAAAGCAGGTTTTTTAAGAAATTATTGCAAAACAAAAGCTCCTTTAAAGCCTCCTTAATGTGCTTGGCATACTGTGGGTAATAAAGATGGAAATGATAATGATTGTAGATTATGCGCAAGGTTGCTCACCTCTTCACTGCAGCTTGTCATGGGATAATTTAGGGCTGCCGAAAGCTGGCTGTCAAGCAGCAATTCGACAATAGGCTGTGCCTCACTTCGGGGGCTTGTAATGTGCAGGGCTTCTCTGTTATTAGGCTGCTAACAAGCTGATTAGAGGCAGAAAAAGTGATGTTCCGAACTCCCCTTGGACGCAGCTCTCTTTCTCAAAGCCTGCTGCTGCTGTGGCGTCCGCTGAGCCATACCGGGAGGGGTTTGTGGTGTTTTGGCTCGGCCATGCCGTCGTGGGATGTGAGCTGTGAGTGTCCCCGGCTGTGGCTGAAGGGCAATGGATGCGCTCCAAGGGGCAGCCAGAGGAATTGGGTGCTCCGTACGGCCTCGATGCTTTAGCTGCTGGTTTGCAGTCTTGAGAGGAAAAGGTCAAAAAGGTGTTGTTACGCAGCCTGCTCAGAGGATCAGGCTCTGAGCACGCCCTTGGGATGAAAACTGGGGGTGTTGGCGTTGGCATCACCCCGTGGTGGTGCCGGTGGTGGCCGGGATGCTCCGCAGGGCATCCCCAGGCACTCGCAGGGAGGGATCCCCTCACCTTCACCCTGTTGCTGCCGGGACCAAGGCCCCACTGGGCTCCGTGGTGGGTCAGCACGCCTGGGAAAAGAAAAGCCAGGAGCACTGGCCGGGCCGTTGTTCTCCCTATAGAGCACAGCTGGAGTTTTGCTCGAGTCCTGAGGATGCTACGGAGCAGATCCACACCTCCAAACGCTGCCCAGCACCCCTGCCCCAACCCATCTGAGCCTGCAGCCAAGGCTGCCTCACAGTCTGGAGGAGCTGGATAAAAATCTCCATTTTTATTTTATTTTGCTTTACCTCGTGCCTACAACTTTGCATGGAGGTGGCATCTTATTATAACAAGTCCCCCAAGCCTTTTCTCAAAAGAACCTCTTATCCCTCCCGATCCCAGCGGATTACAGAAATAGCAATAACAGAGGATTTAAAGAAAGAGACAATTTCCTGCGCTGATAAGGCGGCAGCTGAACAGCGGTGTCATTGTCTGCTGCTCTGTTTATCACATTTGCTTTCGGCGAGGGAAAAGAGGGAGAGAGGAAGGAACGAGAAGGACTGTCCAGTGGTTTGTTTAGCAGTGCTGAATGAGGGTTGAGCGGGTTTTTCCTTCCCCGGCACCTGTGGCGGTGCAAAATCTCTCATGGCTGGGCCAGGCCTGGATTTAGGCGGGGGGGTATCCCCATTAATGGCGGAGATTTGCTTTGGGACAAACAGAAGCTGTGCAGGGCTGTGCCTTGAGCCTGGGGCCGGGGCAGGGGGGGCTCATCCAGCCCCGGGGCAAGTCTGGGTGCAGCGCCAGGCCTGGGGACTTGTGCAGGGTCATTTAGGGTTGCTGCGGTCCCTCGACACAGCGTCACCGTCCTGAGTCGGTGACAGGCTGTGTTCTTTGATCCTACCCACGAAGCGGCGGATGCTGCTGAACTGGGAGCTGTAACTTCATTTATAACTGCGGCGCGCACCTCCAAGTGCTCTGGAGGAAGTTCAAGTGTTGTTAATGGCGGGGCAAAGTGGGGTCCTGGGTTGGAAACCTGTTAAGAGAGTAGGAACCAAAATCGTGAGAAATGGTCATTTTTTGATGTGGCAAAAGGTTAACTGAGCAGTGCTTCGTGGCTGTGTTTAGGCTCTGGGCTAAAAATATTTCTCAGCTGAAAAGGGGCTTGCTGCGGCATGGTGCCACGCCGTTGAGGTTAGCGTGGGCTGCAGAAAACGGGGCTGTTTGTGGCAAATGCATCATTAGGGTGAAGGTAGCCACGGTGGCCCCGTAAGACCCCAAAAGTGCTGCAGGGG